TGTCTGTCTGTCTGCTTGTCTGTTTGTCTGCTTGTATGTATGTATGTATGTATGTATGCATGCATGTATGCATGTATGTATATGATATACATATATTTTTCTTATAGATAGATAGATAGATAGATAGATAGATAGATAGACAGATAGACAGATAGACAGATAGACAGATAGATAGATAGATTTTGGTTTAGCTATTTCACTATTTATTCAGAGACAAAGAGAGAGAGCGAGAGAGATGTGTGTTTGTTTAGTGAGTTATATTATTTACAGTCTTTTTCGACTTGCACACCCGCTCAAGGCAGGCACGGCTTCCAGACAAGTCCGAAGAGCTCACCACAAGTATTTGCTCATTTAATTAATCACACTCTATTCAATTCAATGAACTATGTACTATATACTATTCGCATACTTTGTTGCTGGAAAAATTCTTGCCCCCCTCCTGGGCCTTCGGCAACGGTTGGCCATGATCGCGAAGGTCCAGAAGCTGGGTCTCCAAGCGCTCCGCCACTCCGAGTCGCGCGGCCGACTCCTTGCAGAGCGAAGAACACGGCTTTGGATAAGCATGCACATGTAGTAAGTAATTAATTCTGGATCTGTTTGGGGTATGGGACGGCCCGTGTAGAGTAGTTTCGGAGGCGTCCAAACAAAAGCCCTGGTTGAAAGACATCTTACACCCCCGAGTCTAATTCGCAAACCAGCTTTGGCAGGCAGCCATCCCCACTCTCCGTGACAAGGAACCTTGCCTGCAAGCAACTTCAGACTCAATGACTCTATGAACTCAAGTCCCGAAGTCAGGCGTGCTGAACATCTTGCCGAAACAAGACTGCTCACCGGTGTTCCTGAAGCAGCTGCAGAGGAAGTTCTCGGAAGTCTGTTGCGACCACCTCCACGTGGGCACTTTCGAACAGCCCCAAAAAACAGGATGCTGCAATTGCCTGAACCACCGACGACCACGAATCCATATGCCGAAGATGCAAAACTGCAAGTCGCGGCCTCTGACCACTTTCCATGGACAGCCGCAACTTGCTCCACACGAGCTCGAAGCTTTGGGTTAGCCAGAACTATGTGCTGGTGCTACAGTGTCCATCGAGTCAGCTGTTGCACGAGGACGGTTGGGCTATGCTTGCCGAGCGTGGCAACAGCCTGGCCAATCGAAAAGCCGAAGCCCCCTCTTTGGCCTCCATGTCCAGACTTAGCAGCGCAAGGGAGGCCAAGCCGCAGCCACAGCCAAGCTCAAGGGCTCCTTGACAGCTTCTTGCACACACTTGTCATCTCCTAACTACGTGACATACTCCGTCTGCTGCATCTTATATATGTAGGTTCCTACTTGAATGCGGCGCACCACCTTGCAAGCGCACGCAAATCCTCTTTGGGCATGTTGGTTGCCTGACCTGCAGAACGTGTACTGTAGATGTGGAGAACAGTAAAGTATACATCCGCCCTCAGTTGCTGCCAAAGCCAGGTCAAGCCTAATCCTAGCTACGACAAACCTCTGACATCCTCTGACCCCATGGCCTCAGACCCAACGTTTAAGCATGGCCCAGTTGCGCAAGCGTTCTCCGGAACCTGAAGAAAAGACATTTGGGCTTGCAGGTAAAACAACGGTTGTTCCATGCACGTCGCCATTGGCTTCGCTTCGGGCATAAACCACAAGACAGGATCAATGTACGCAAGGAGCCTGGCCATTGAAAGAATGCCACGCATGCGACGTATGACTTCTGACCGGACTGCGACATTGAGAGGCCAGTGTTGCAGACTTTGCGGACAACCAAACTTGTGCATTGTAAGTCTATGGTTTACAGCAGGGCTTCACATGAGGGTCTGCGGTCAGCACAGTGACAGTTGTGATCGGCAGGACATCCTCAGACCGGACGGATAGGGACTCAAGCGTCGACGCCCACCTTGAGCCCGGAGACCGTAGGCCGCGGCAGCCTGTGCCAGGACCTGTGCCGCCGGCCAAACCTTAGGGAGGCAAAAGGGACTTTTAGAACTCTGGGGGTCAGAGCTTCCCTTAGCGGCTTAGCGAACGAGCCGTGGCTTGAGTTGTCCAGCACATCAAAAAACCCTGAAACCTGGATCTGATCTCCATGATATCTTGCAAGCCCAGGTTCGAAAGCAAACCCTCCACTCATTCCCTGCGGAAGACACTGGCATCCTTCCTGCTCATCGAAGGCATCTCCTTCTGACGGTCAAGCAGCTGCCATGCCATACGGGTCGGCTTCCACACATGTTTCCTGGGTCACGGCAGGACTTACGACATTGTACGAAGTCCCGCCACACGGGATTCCGTGCTGTCAAGTAGATTCTGGGCTGTACACTCACACACTAGCCTTGGAATCCTGCCGCTTCAGGACTGCGGCGAGATAGAGGCACCGAAGCTCCAAGGTCTGACAACCCAAGGAATGAAGAAGAGCCTGGTCTCATCCTCCTCGTTGCAGGCTTCTTCGATCAACGTCTCCTCCAATCAGACCGGACTTCGGCTCACTCTCAACGAAAGAAGCTGAAGGTATCGTGTGGCAGACAACAGCCAGTTCTTGACTCGGAACTGGTACGGCTTCAACGTCTTCTGCGACTCGGAAGACCTTAACTTTCTACCTCTAAGCTCCGACGGAGGTTGATGTGGAGTCTTGTTCAACCGGTGCGCATCTATAACATGTTGTTTTGCTTGTTCCAGCCGCTACCAAAAATTGGAGGGGGGGTCTTTCATGCGTTCGTGTTTTCCGGCTGTTTTTCTTTTGGGTTGCCCACCCACAATTTTATTCCCTGAAGCCCGACCTAAACCCCCTCCAAATCCTGAAACCCTGGCCCTGAAGCCAGCTTTTCACACAGGTTTGATCACTGCTGGCCCAAACCCTAAAAGTAAAACCCCTTTTTTTGCAACTGGGCTTGATGAACGCCAGCACCCCACTGAGCACAGGACCAAGGACTCTGCCGAGGCTCCAGCACAGCGGGAAAGGAACACTAAATGAACAGCTTCATCCCTGCTCAATCAAGGCTTGCAAAACGAGTGTACTTACACAGCCACGCGCTCGGAAACTGGGACCATGAGCACGCGATGTCGTAGTCTGCCCACAGCTGCTTCGTTAGCGACGGCATGGTAAGCAAAATAACATCAACCCATCTCTCGTCACCCCTGAACCCTAAACTCTCAACCCCCCCTTTAACCTATTTAACCTGCTGAAGCCCTCCAGACCCCAAATCAAGCCAGACCCCCGATACCTAAGCCCTCCTAAACCCTCCTAGACCCTTATACTCATTAATTAAGCACCGAAACCTACTAAACCCTCCTAAATCCTTCTACTTAAGCCCCAACCAGCAGGTAATGGGGTCCAGGAAACCAGGAGACCATCGGTCTTGGAGCAATAATGTCCATGGGGGTCACGGATCACGGGTAACATGGTAAACAAGCCGTGCAGCAATAGTCGGGCGGGGTTAAACGGTTAGACAGGACGCCACATTAGAGGGACGAGATTATGTGACACACACTATGCCAAGTCCCAAAAGCGTTCGCTCCAGGGAAACCGTGTGAATGCCTGCCAATCCACAGACGCTTCAATGAGACGCAGGCTGCAGCTTGGAGCCACGTGAATCTCCACTTCCACCTTGGTTGGTGCAAGACGGTGCTTCTACGGTCTTTACCCGGAAGACCACTTCTCATGGCTGTTGTGTTTCATTGGCAACGAAAATGTTGAACCTGGACACAGGCGAAGTCGGACATGCTACCAAGGGCGGATTGGGTCCAGCATCGGGGATTCTGCAGCCAAGGAACCGCGTGGGGAAAGCGGCTGCTCGTCGCCCCTGTAGTTCTCGAGCACCTGATGAGAAAGCTCTGATTCTCGCCGGCTGAATTCAAGCTTGGGCAGCGCTTCGACGGGACGGGCCGGACGGGCGTCCCGAACTAAAGGAAGGGTCGAACAGCGAACCTGGCTTCGAGGTGGCCCCGCGCTGCCACGCGGCCTCCTGGCCGTGGCCGCCGTGGCCGCCGTGGCCGCAGCCAGCGCTCCGCGGCCCAGAGGGGAAAGGGTCAAACGATAGCGGCTGACTGCCAGGACAACGACGTGTATGTTGTGGCACAAGTCTAGCATACACATATAATACTGCGACCAGGTTCATTGCTTTTGGAAACGCAGGCATCAAGCACAGATTCAGGAGATTGCATAGGATGGCTTTCGAATTTCCGGCTTTTCGTGAGATTCCGTGGACCAGGCTCGATTTCTTCAGGTGGCAGCTCCTGCAATTGGAAGGGGGCAGCGCCAAGTCTACAGAGTGCGGCAAAAGGCTGACAGGCTGACCATGGCTCACCCCATACTCCGCGCCTGGGCTCTGGATCCTGCCGCAGGGGGGGATGCCAGTGCGCGGCGGGTTCCATCGGCCAGCGTCGCGGCAGAGCGGCCGCAGCGTAAAGGCCATAACAAGAAGGAGTTGGCGCCTATGCCTATACCTGCATGACTGGTGACTTATCGTTCGTTCCTGCCTTGCAATACTTCCAAGCTAGCTCTGCTCCACTTGTCAGCGGGTGGTTTCCGGGACGGGATCAACCCAAGAGGTTATTGAAGCACTCGATGTCAAGGCCATGCACGGTAGATCATTGACGAAGCTGCAGATGCCAGTTTCGGCCTTTTCTGATGTTCAAGCCTGCACTTGCAGGATGTCCTTTGCTTGCGGCCTTGAGGACGGAGCCGGGTTTGCCCTCCGTGTGCAACAAAACCTAGTCGGACCTCTTAGGGTACCACAGAACTTTCCCACTCTATGTAAGGCATCGTAAGTTAGAGTGAAGCCTCGACTGGGCGGGTTTTTGCACTGAGGACCTCTTACAACGGTCCATAGCTAATTTTAGTTCCGTGCGATGCAACTCAGCTGTCTGAAGACCACTCCAAGCTGCACAAGAGATGCCCTGCTTCCGCATAGCCGCAACAGTCGCCAAAGCGCCTTCCCAGTTGCCTTCCGAAATTCGGATGTCTCCGAAGCACTGCAAGCTCGGAACAGCTCTGGCAGAAACGAGACCAACCCCGAACGGTTGAAACTCAGCGGCGACCCGACCCTTGTTACTGACAAGTGTGCACGGCTGTACCGTGGCTGGGGATTCCTAACAAACGCTAATCGGACACCAAATACACCAAGCCATCGAGCGATTGGGACGGAGGCATTGCATGCTTGGTGTCTGACAGGAATCTAGTAAGGTTTGTCTCGAACTCACGAGTTTGTGTCCGGACCCGGACTCCGGCGTCCAGTATCGGTCCAGACATGCGAGGCTTAGAGGGCTTCTGGATTCGGGGATGTTGATTTGGACTCTCGCGACTCGCGCGGCTGATCCATGTGCGAACTCTGGGCTTTGGCCGAACGTTAGGCTAGATCGGTTAGATGGCAGTTTACACATCGCATTCAGAACCAAACCGCATCCCTCGATCTGAAAAGAGGCTGGGTGCCGGCTCGCTCTTGGCAGGACAACACCTGAGTGCAGCAGACACGAGGCGAACCTACACAACGAAGCGCTAACACGTGGCATGCTACGGCAGTGTTGCTTCAGGACAACTGTGTCAGCTCGAAGCAAGAATTATCTGCTGTTTAGTCTGAAGCTCGGTGCTTGCATGCTCGAATCGTGGACGCCCAACTGTCATGGCAACCCGACCCTTCAAGATGAGCCCAAATCGGTAGGTCACCTGTGCCGACGGGTCACTGTGGTGAAGGTGATGTCATTGGGCAGGATCTTACGACGGCGCATCTCCTTTAGCTCGTGGCGATTCGGGACTCAGCTTGCTGGCGTTTCAACAGCGGTCCTCCATGAGCACCAGGCAAGCCTTCCAGCTTGCACCTCGCATGCAACACAGCGCTGAGCATTCAAGGATGATGTTCTACGCCTCCTCTTTAAATGGATCCTTCTGATGAAGACACAACTGGGAAGCACCAAAGGCTGCACGATGCCATCGTGCCTACCCATGAGACACATCCGGAACATGTTCCGGACTTGTGCATGCCTTAACTGCATACGTGCCTGTTTGTTTCGTTTTGAGAGTGTGAGAGAGTGAGTGCGTGTGTGTGTGTGAACAATGTCTGCCCGCAGTCTGCTTCGAATTTCCGGCAAGGAGTCACAAACCTCTGACCTCCAGGAGAGCTGCGAACAAAAAAGCCGGAGAGGAATGATTGCAAGGCCGAGCGCATCCGCTGGCGATGGCGTTGAAGCTCGCGACGTCCATGCGAACTCCAGAATCCTCCAAGGTGGCCAGGAGGCTCCTTGGCAGCAAGAAGAGTACCGGCAACAACTACTACTTGTAGTAGTAGTAGTAGTAGTAGTAGTAGTAGCAGTAGTAGTAGTAGTAGTGATAGTAGTAGTAGCAGCAGCAGCAGCAGTAGTAGTAGTAGTAGTAGTAGTAGTTGTTGTTGTTGTTGTTGTAGTAGCAGCAGGAGTAGTAGTAGTAGTAGTAGTAGTAGTAGTAGTAGTAGTAGTAGTA